TATACAGTGTTCAGCGTTTAATATCAATAGTGACACCCAGTACTCTAAGTAAGGTTTAAACTCAGGTAATATTTAAGCAATTTCCAGCAACTGTTAAGGTCAGTACTACCTACTTCATATAGTTGATTGTTTTATATAATTTAAAGAAGTGTACCTAGGCATTATTATATTAATTAACTATCACTGTAGTTAATAGCTTAGTATACTTAAAACTTGTAAAACGGTCTGTTAGGTTAGTTTGAACTTTAACTTGTTATATTTCGGTATGAAAACGGACTAATCATTGTCATAAGTGCATAACGGTACTTTAAACGTAGGTAATTACATTATTGTTAACTAGCTTCGCCTGTGTTGTTCTTATGTATAAGCTATATTACAGTGGAATTTCATCGAAATCTATTCAGTAGTTTTTTTGTGTGAAATAAGAACAAACGTACGTCCATACTTTCTTACAAGCTTCCGTGTCTATAATATTAGTAAGATTTGCAATATTAATTTGGTGAATTTCAGTTGCTTGCTGACTTCCCAGAATGACCGAGAAGGAGGAGAAGGAATTAATTAAAAGACGGGCAAGTTATAAAGGGCGGTTGACCGCTTTTAGTAATTACTTAAATGATTTGGAAGATTCGTTAAATCCATCGCAAGTTAATGAATTGCAGTTGCGAACAGGTAAGATGGAAAATTTATTTACTCAATACGACGAGGTTCAGTTACGTTTAGAGTGTTTAGTTGATGATATTAATAGTCAATTGTCAGAACGAAATGAATTTGAATCTACGTTTTATAAACTCGTTTCAAAGGCACAAGATTTACTTTCTCGTAATGGTAAGTCACATAATGATGAGTGTTCAATGAGTGATAAAAGTTCATCTCGAATTAGCAATCGTCGGCTTGTTAAATTGCCTACAATACAACTGCCTAAGTTTTCTGGTTCATTTGACAACTGGCTCGAGTTTCGTGACACATTTTCAAGTTTGATACATGTGAATGAAGACATAGATGATATCAATAAATTCCATTATCTTAGGGCTTCTCTCGAGGGTTCGGCTGCTGTGGTTATTCAGTCTATGGAATTTTCGTCTATTAATTACCGTGTTGCCTGGAAATTATTGTGTGACAGGTTTGACAACAAACGCCTTTTGATACAAAACCATGTAGCAGCGTTGTTTGACATCGAGGCTGTGCGGAAAGAATCGTCTACTACTTTGAAACGTGTCATTGATACTGTCAACAAAAACTTACGAGCATTAGAAACACTGGGTGAGCCAACGAAACATTGGGACACATTATTAATTTATATAGTTACGTGTAAACTTGATCCTAAGACATTTCGCGAGTGGGAACAATTTAAGGGTGATTTTGATCATAACAAATCAATAACATTAGAGACATTTTTAAAATTTGTGCGTAATCGCGCAAACTTATTGGAAACCTTGGAAATGTTCCATGTTATGTCGACTGTGCATGCAAAACCCAACAATAAAATTAAAACTATGGTGTCTATCGCTAATACATTAAGTATTAAACCTAATTGTGGTACAGGCTCAAGTAAACCGTGTCCGAAATGTCGAGGAGAACAAAACTTAAGTAACTGTTCACAATTCTTAGGCCTCAGTAATGAGGAAAGGTTAGCATTATTACCACAATTAAAAGTTTGTTTTAATTGTCTCCGCGGTGGTCATTATGCAAATCATTGCAAGTCTCCTGGTTGCAAGGCGTGCAAAAGAAAGCATAATACACTGGTTCATGTCACAGACATTAAGGCGAAGTCCACGTTACCATCCTTATCCCATAATAATAACCGCGACATCATTAACGAGCCTACTGAACAATCGTCGAGCAGTAACGTTACATTGTCAGCGCAAGTCAATGCGCATGTACACAATAAAAATCAAGGCCTCTTAGCCACTTCATTAATAAAGGCATATGATAATAATAATTGTGAACACCTGGTTCGCGCCATTCTAGATACCGGCAGCACGTCTTGTCTTATCACAGAAAAGTTATGTAACATTTTAAACTTACCTACTGTTGAAGTTAATGAGTCATTAACCGGTATTAATAATTCTAAATCCCTAATAGGCAAAATGTGTTGCATTCCAATAAAATCATTAAATGAAGGCTATGTTACTAAGATTTCTTGTTTCATATTACCTTCTATTACTGATGACGTTCCTTGTAGTTCATTAGACATAAAAGATTTAAAAATACCAAGTGACCTGTGTTTAGCTGATCCTCATTTTGATACCCCTTCCCGTGTAGATTTAATTATAGGTGCAGATATTTTCTGGGACCTTCTGGGAACACGGAGGATTAATCTTGGTGTTGGGAAGCCAGTTCTATTTGAAACTAGACTTGGTTGGATAGTTTCAGGTTCTATATTAAATAATGATCAGGTACCTAATTATTTTCCAAAATGTAATTTAATTAATGTTAATAACTCTTCACAGATTAACTCGAATGCTGTTGACCTTCAAAACCTATTAATGCGTTTTTGGCAACTCGAGGAAGTTGGCCATCAGTCATCAGTATATTCTCGAGAAGAAAAGATGTGTGAAGAGAACTTCGTTAAAAATACGACACGTCTTAAGGATGGTCGTTTTTGTGTTAGAATACCACTAAAACAATCACAAGATTGTTTGGGTGACTCTCATCACCGGGCTAAGCACTGTCTGTTGTCGTTAGAACGCAAGTTTAAAAGTCAACCCTTATTTAAAAAACGGTATTGTGAATTTATGAAGGAGTACATCAATCTAAACCATATGTCTCCGTGTTCTCCTGATTCTCAGAGGGTCTCATTCTTTATACCTCACCATGGCGTTGAGCGAGAGAGTAGTTTAACTACAAAGCTCAGGGTAGTGTTTAATGCCAGTAGTCCCACTACTTCAGGAACATCATTCAATGATTTACAAATGATAGGGCCTACTGTGCAAGATGATTTGATGTCTATACTGCTCCGGTTCAGGCAATACAAATATGTTGTTTGTGCGGACGTAGAAAAAATGTACCGGCAAGTAGTTGTACATCCGGATGATAGGCATCTCCAACAAATATTGTGGCGTGAGAATCCTTTGGAACCAATGGTAGCTTATCAATTAAACACAGTCACATACGGCACTGCTAGTGCGCCATTCCTTGCTACTAGGTGTTTGCGTCAAATAGGGCTTGACTGTACTGATAATAAAATTGCTACAATAATTAAACACGACTTTTATGTGGACGATTTGCTCTCAGGTGGGGATACAGTTGAAGAGGTCCGTGAAATACGTCGCAAAGTTACAGTTGAACTCGCATCAGCTGGAATGCCATTGCGTAAATGGAAATCTAACTGTGCCAGTGTTGTTACTGATAATATACAGCATTCATCGCTTAATTTAAACATTGGTGCAGCTGAGCCGTGTAAAACTTTAGGTTTAAGTTGGCACACTGAAACGGATGTCCTATGTTTTTCAATAAGTGAAAATATTTCTAACCCGTTAACAAAACGTGGTATTCTCTCTACTGTATCTCAGAATTTTGATCCATTAGGACTTTTAGCTCCGTGCATTATTGTAATGAAGACAATGATACAAAAATTATGGGTACTAAAGTTGGGATGGGATGATCCGCTACCTCCAGATATTTTAAAATTGTGGGTAAACATTTTACGCAACTTGCCAATTATAAATCATTTACGAATTCCACGTTTAGTACTGTGTGATCTATACGATAGCATAGATCTACACATATTTAGTGATGCATCACAAGTCGCGTATGGTGCTTGTGTGTATGTACGTAGCTCAACTCAAGACACTAACACATTGGTGCGTTTGCTTACAGCCAAAAGCCGTGTAGCACCTATAAAGCCGGTGACAATACCGAGACTAGAGCTTTGTGCGGTTTTGGTTGGAGTCCGTCTTTATGAAAAGGTGGTTGATTCTCTCCGCGTTCAAATCAGAAGCGCCACCTTCTGGACTGACTCAATGGTAGTACTAGGCTGGCTTAACGTGGTACCTTGTAAGTTGCAGCCCTTTGTTAGAAACCGTGTTGCAGAGATCTTGGACAAGACAGGGTCATGTTCTTGGAGGCACGTTCCGACTAAACTAAATCCCGCTGATCATATATCCCGTGGAATTGATGTAAGTCTTTTACATTCCTTAGACTTGTGGTGGTCAGGTCCT